GTAGTGGCTGAGAGTAGTGTGTGTAGCGTAGTGGCTGAGAGTAGTGTGTGTAGCGTAGTAGCTGAGTGTAGTGTGTGTAGCGTAGTGGCTGAGTGTAGTGTGTGTAGCGTAGTGGCTGAGTGTAGTGTGTGTAGCGTAGTGGCTGAGAGTAGTGTGTGTAGCGTAGTGGCTGAGTGTAGTGTGTGTAGCGTAGTGGCTGAGTGTAGTGTGTGTAGCGTAGTGGCTGAGTGTAGTGTGTGTAGCGTAGTGGCTGAGTGTAGTGTGTGTAGCGTAGTGGCTGAGTGTAGTGTGTGTAGCGTAGTGGCTGAGTGTAGTGTGTAGCGTAGTGGCTGAGAGTAGTGTGTGTAGCGTAGTGGCTGAGTGTAGTGTGTGTAGCGTAGTGGCTGAGTGTAGTGTGTAGCGTAGTGGCTGAGTAGTGTGTGTAGCGTAGTGGCTGAGAGTAGTGTGTGTAGCGTAGTGGCTGAGTGTGGTGTGTGTAGCGTAGTGGCTGAGTGTAGTGTGTGTAGCGTAGTGGCTGAGAGTAGTGTGTGTAGCGTAGTGGCTGAGAGTAGTGTGTGTAGCGTAGTGGCTGAGAGTAGTGTGTGTAGCGTAGTGGCTGAGTGTAGTGTGTGGAGCGTAGTGGCTGAGTGTAGTGTGTAGCGTAGTGGCTGAGTGTAGTGTGTGTAGCGTAGTGGCTGAGTGTCGTGTGTGTAGCGTAGTGGCTGAGTGTAGTGTGTAGCGTAGTGGCTGAGCGTAGTGTGTGTAGCGTAGTGGCTGAGTGTAGTGTGTGTAGCGTAGTGGCTGAGTGTAGTGTGTAGCGTAGTGGCTGAGTGTAGTGTGTGTAGCGTAGTGGCTGAGAGTAGTGTGTGTAGCGTAGTGGCTGAGTGTAGTGTGTGTAGCGTAGTGGCTGAGTGTTACCGTATTTGGAATTGTACAGAATTGACTAAAATCATGAATTAATAAAGTCTTAAAGACCAATGCGTATTTCATTAGGAAAAGGGGCATTTACATTCAACACTGAAAATGTCATATGCTGAGATAGTAATACAAAATGACGATTGAAATTGAATTACTCAAATTTAGGTTGATTTTGTTTTGCACACCAAAATTAGGACAACAATTAGGAGTTCTGACAGTCTTTTGATAAGTCTTGAGTTTTCAGAGATGCTAAATGCCAAATTCAGAAATAATTGGATCAACAGTCATAAAGAAGTTTGTTGTTATCGTGTTCAGGGATTCTGTCTGTACTCCGCTTCGGAGCATATTCTGTTTATTTAAGACTTGGAAACTTCCAATTTGTACCAATTTAGGAAGTGCCTGCATTGGGAATACAGTGTAGTTTAATTTAGCTCCAAATCACCAGACTATATACTTTATATATTTGTATTCAGGTTGTTATATAATATATCATCAACATATTTTTATCTCTTCTTTAAGAACAAGTGGGAAAAAGAAAGTTCGATACAATTTCAACTCTGACATTGCTTGCTTAATGAGAAGAGTAGCACTCCAGTCCTTTGTTCTTGGAGCCATTAAAATAAAAGACACATTTTACCATTTAAGAGGTGAGACTACATTTGACAGCCCTGGTCTCAAAAGGAGTGAAATGAAACACTTTCAGAGACGGAGTAATACTTTGCATCAACCACGTACAGTACAGAGCTATACTTCACTTGTCAAACTACATTTTTTGCAAATCCAATATTAATTTGCCCGTAAGCCTTTTACGTGTATTTCTGTATCAGTCATTTCTTTTGTATGAAAAGTGGTTGTCAAGATGAAACTCTCAGAATACATAATGACTTCATTAGTGGTCCTTCTCTGTGATTAATTGGAGTGCTGTGTCGCCCAGTGTGACAGAGCCTCTCATTGCCAGACAGTGTTGTGACAGGAGCCGAGCACCATGTTGATGAGTCTGGAGATGATCACACACTGATGTACACTTGTAAGACACACACCAGACGAATCAGCATCCTCACACACATCTCGCAATATCTAAACATGGAGACCCCCCTGAGATAGAAGTGGATTTCAGAATGCGACCTGGCCTAAATTCAGAACTCTACCTGTAATCGCATGATTGCAATGTCACAGTTTTGCCCGCAGTGATAAGCAACAGCAATCTCTGTTTCAATATTTTCCTCCGTTCTTGATATAAACGTGTTGACAGCTGTGTTAGCACCCTAAAGAAGAAGATGGCCCCTCTATCTGAACAGGAGAAGAAAGACATGTAAGGCGCCTCACAGTCTCTTAGCTCAAGGGTCCAGAGATAAGAAAATCCAGCGTGTTTGATGGCTGCTGTAAGCTTACAAGGACCAGCGGTAAGAAAAACAAGTTGTATTGACTTCACTCAAGAAACTGAGGGTGGAAGAAGTAAAGGTGTAATAGTTGAAGGAAGCTTGTCAAGTGTGGGAGATGCACAGAGATGTCAGGGATGAAGCCAGACATGGGTCACGTTGTAAAGATAAGAGCAATCTACCAGAGGCTGAGACTCTGAGACTGATGTCGGCTCAAACAACTTTGAACAGGGCGTCTGAGGTTGGTACAACAGGGAGAAGCTCTGGTCTGGTCTGAAGGTTTGAAGTCAAACGGCAAGACAGTAATTTAATCAATTTGATCAATACAGCCATTGGAGCGGGTCAGCTCCCATATCAGTAACAGAGCATAAGAGTGTAAGAGAATTCTAAACTGGAGGGGATTGCTGATTTAGACTTAAAATACATCTCTTTGTTAAAATTGTACAAGCTCTAAGCAGGGATCGGACTTCTTCTGGGTGGTTCAGATGGGGTCTCGGTTCATATCTGAAAAATACAAAATAAAACCCCACGTTTATCCCATAATCAGTGACGGCGTATACGTCATTAAGGTAGAAAAAGGTAGATTGGAAGAGTCCAATTCATTCCTACTGAGACACTTTTGCATTTGTAGGATGTCTGTAGTGTTTCTGATGCTGGAACAGTGGCTTATCTGTACCGCAGCCGGGTCTGTAAGCTATTATTTTGAACCAGCATGCAACAGACAGCAGATCACATAGGAATTTCCCAGCAAAAGCATCATATGAAGGTGAAAAACAAACCCCCTTCTGATAGCAACATCTTCCATATGCTTGAGTGGCTGTTTATATTCCCTCTAGCAGATCACACAGGCTTTTTTTCTTTTTGCTGAATCTCTATCCCCGGCACACCAGCTCCTCCGTGGCCTCCTCCACTCTGCACAGTCTGCTCCAATCTCTGTGAACAACGCTGCAATCTCCGTGAACAACGCTGCCCTCTCTCCTCCAGCGGCACATAGACATTTAAGAGTGGCACTTTCTTTGTGAGATGCAACCATATTCACATGTGGAGCTAGAGGGACATTTTGTTTTGTGTTTCTTTCTCCTTCAAACTAAACTTTGCCAGTAGCATATCGAACAGTAACTCCGTCCAGACTGAAATGTCTGAACAACTTTGAGATAAATTGCCATAATTCACATAAGCCTTGATGTTACTTATGTTAAGTGCTCATATAAAAACTTGGCATAATAAACTAAGATGTTGTACGTGGTGAGCATCTAGCATTTCGCTTAATGCACTGCTGTTCAGCCTCACTTAGCGGCAACAATGTAGACTCCTTTTGTAAGATAATTCCTTAGCGTTAGCTGTTTAGGCTAGCTCCTCATGACATATATGCGTTAAAACGATTTAGTTAAGTGTACATGGGCTGTATAATTTATCGTGCAGCAGAGACAGATTTACACTTTACACAAATAATCAGCCACTTATAGAATTAGTTGTTTCTCTTTACAATTCCTGATCAATGACCTCGTACGTTTGCAGTCTTTACCTCTCCTTCAGATGTTGTGAATAACAGCTCAGCGTGCTACCCACTCGGCGGATATGAAAGATGCACAGCGGGCTTTTTAATTTGAGCTTCCCCCTGATAATCCGTGTTAATTTGTTCAAAAGCATGGTGATGAAATACGCGGCAGTGAGAATAGAGGGTCCTAACAAGCATGAGTGGCCACCTCTGTTAGACAAAAGGGGGCCTCTGAGTTGATTATAATCCCAAAGCGCTGTGGGGATAAACAACATGTTTTTGAAGTTTGTTACCATTGTTTTTCATATGCTAATTAAGTAAAGCCTCCAACTGTGTTTTTCTTTTTGCGGAATACAATGTGCTGCTTTAATACAAGTAACAATGCTTGGACATTCTATATTTATCTGCAATACTTATAATGGTGTGTACAGTACATTTCCATACATATTATTTTGACTGCGGCAAATTTGATCACTCTATGGACTGCAGTCATTTACTCTACCGCACCGTTAAACTGCCTCACACACACCCTGTAATGGGAAAAGCCATTGGCTGATGTACCTGGCTATAACGGAGAACCCACCACTCTGCATCAGCTCACTGGCATGGAATCAATGCGGAATTGCAGATGTGAGCAAAAGCTGCAGAGGACGCACACACACACACACACACACACACACACACACACACACACACACACACACACACACACACACACACACACACACACACACACACACACACACACACACACAACCCGCTGCAATATCATGACAACAAAGGCTTCCCACCAGGATAGCATGCCTGAGCCTTTAACAGGATATAACTTGTGTTTTTGAGAGAATGAGAAGGTCATAGGGTGATATACTGGGAATAATTAGGCGTGACTTCATTTAAATGGTCCATTACAGCAGAATGATCAGTCAGCAAGAATGAGGTTATACAATTTAACTCTATAGCTTTCGCCTATGGCTCACATTGATAAAGGATTTAGCACACAATCCTTATAAGATTAGGTTTTATATTCTTCTGTTGGATCAAGCTGAATAGGAAGGAATCCCATGATGCATGTTCTGTCTAATAGTCCTCTTCGCTTGGTTCTGGCTTTATTGCTGCTATTTAAATGATCTCACAGAGTGCTGTTACCACAGGGATCCGGAAGGAGTGGTGTCCAGCCTTGGCTCATACAAACCTCTCAGAAAAGGGAAGGCAAAATGTGTACTTACGATCTCTGAATGCTGACTCGTGGACAGGAGGTTCTTCTGTCCTGCAGGGGTCTCCCACAAACATTCACACACACACACAATCGTCTGGTCGCTGGTGCGTGTACCTGTTGAGAGGAACAGAAGCACAAAAGGCTTGAAAGGTCGATGCTGGATAACCCACGGTGTTGGTTCACAAAAGGGCCCTGTGTTTGATAGAAGACGGAAGTAAGCAAACATGTCAAATAAACGTGCTTCGAATGATAGATATCCTTTATTTTATTTAACCAGGTAAAAGTCTCATTGAGATTTAAGTCTTTTTTCCAAGAGCGACCTGTGCAAGAGGGCAGCATGAACAATGTTACAACAAATGCACACAAAACAATACAGGCAGAGGAATACAGCTGTCGTAAAACACAAATGAAATGGCACATTAACCAGTCAATATGCAAATATAAGAAACTGTTATAAAACATAAAAAACTGGCACAATTTTAAAGTGTTACATTGGTTAATACGGTAAAACACATTTAAATACTACTGATCAAAGTAATGTGTGGGTTAGTAACACTAGCTCACAGCTGTTATTTGGCTTATTCATTCATTCATAAGACTCATTTTAAAATGCATCAGCTGCAGAAGTTCAGTGTTTTCAGTGGTATTATTGTTCACTGCATACACGTACTGTAAGGCTTAACACAGATGTAATGTGTTGCCCTGCAGAAATGGTTTACAAATGGAACAGAATCCATATTATATTAGTAAAAGTCAGCTAATCTACATAAGTTCTTTTTCTAAAATTCAGATTCACAGGTTGGTGTTTTTGCTGCGTCTGTTCATACTGCGGCACACTTGATAATGTCGTATCATCAGTTGAAATACCACCTTGTTTCACGCTCTTTGAATTCCATTGCTTTTTATTACTCGAGTGTGAAAGACTAGAAATGAAGTCTGTTCTGCAGCGGGTGATAAACTCATTAACAAAATATATATATGAGCGTTCTAACCGTGAGCAGTCAAAACTGAGGGTTTCACACTTCATGTTGCTATGGACCGTAACGACCCCTCTCTACTAATTACGTATTGTTCTTTAACGTATAAGATTGCTCTAATTAGAAATGAGATCACACTCAGATAGACTCTCACTTGATGTTTATCAGGCTGTTAGCACTTTCATGGTTCAAAGTCATTTTTCAAACCCTCTGCTACATTATTCCAGAAAATGAAATAAATAAATCTATGTGCTTAACCTCTTAAATGTTTATAATGATGTTTACACCCGGGGCACAGACTGGTGTTAGATGCAAAAACATTTTCAATGTTTCATTTGTTGTGTTAGAGTATCTCTCTATCGTATCTTCTGAAACTACACTCAATAATATCTTCTAATCAAGCATACCATGTTGAAAACGACAATATTTAAAACATATATTTTCTTCTTGCATCTTGCATTCCTTCCATCAATTCAATATGAATGCACACACTTGTTGCATTGAGACTTCATTTGGTCACTTGTCTGCCCCAAAATCACCCTAAAACTAGCACCAAATACATGTACAGTAACAGCCATTGCTGGCGTGAAATATTGACACATTTTTCTTCATTGAAGTTCTACGGCCATTTTGATTGCCAAAACATTCGAGGTACGCTGTGCAGGTTTTAACTGTTAATAATCCTGTAGCACGATGTCATTATGAGCACTTTTTGTCGTTGTTCAGCACCACACATCAGCATAAGCATGCATATATGTTTAGTAACTTGCATGTCACTATATTTTACGGAAGAAAACAAGGAGTCCAAAGGAGGCGTTTCAGGCAGGGGGGGGGGGGGGGGGGGGGGAGTGTGTGGGAGAGAAACTCCCTCTGGAATGACCTTTGGGATTTTAGCCTTTGCAGACCATAGACATGCACAACAATATATCTCTATATATATATATAGCTCTGGAAAAAGTGAAGAGACCAATGCAGCATTCTCAGTTTCTCTGGATTGACTATTTATAATTATGTGTTTGAGTCAAATGAACATTCTATAAACTACTGACAACATTTCTCTGTGCTGGAATTCAGCTGGACACTGGACTGGAATGGCTGCCATACATGTAGAGATTGAGATCAAAGAACAATTTGGAGCGGCCTATCATTTTGTCCAGAACTCTTTATAAATATATCACCGACTGTATATAACACACTACAGGAAAGGGAAGACCAACAACAACAACAACACATACTAGGGCCCCTTTAAGCTTTACTCAGTTGCTACAAGACACTGATCTTCTTCATGAGGTATCTATGTTGCCATCATTTCAGCTCCAGGGTCTAGTTTCTGTTTGTTGAGGTCAGTGTGAGGACGGTTTCATGTTGCTGCGTGTCTGCTTGTGTGAGGAGTCACATCTCACACAGCTGGACAGTAACAGTGTCCTCTCAGGCTCAATAGCTCGTTTCCGTAGCGACTGAAACTATTTCTTCTGCACTGGTCGTATTTCTGCTATGACAGTAAAGATAGAACATGATGGAGACTAATTGAAACATGTTAAATATCCGTCCTCATCCAGACAATTTGTTGTGTATATGTATGCCTTTTAACTTTTGTCGACTGATTCTCAGAACTCTTTGCATGAGTCCCTTTCGATGATGCCTTTTATTATTGTAATTAGGATGTTTTGTTCTCATTCATGTGTCCTTTTGGGCCTACAAGTAAACTCAATATGAACTGCTAGTGTGTAAGTCCCTTGATATGATAATGAACTAACTATCCCTACTACTGAAACATGCCCTGAAATGATATTTTATCACACATTTTTTAATAGAGACAGACTGAATTCCTCTGCTCTTGTTGTGCGCAGTGTGTTAGTTTTAATGGGCTCATCCACTTTCATTTTATAATTGCACAAATGGTACGTTTCAAAGGCAGACTGCCTGCAGCTCTGGAGCCTGAAGAACTCGTACATGATGGTCTCCCACTGCTTCCTACCACTGACCCAGGAGCTGTTTTCACATGTCCAATGTAGAATCCCAGATAGGATTCAGATCTGACATAATATTCATTAACACCAACCAGGCCCAGTGGTGCTTCCTGTAGATGTTTCATTAGCTTGCACAATGACCGGCTTCTCATGCCACAGTACAAAATGATACCCTCCAACAGCAACATGCACTAAAGGGAATCAAAGAGAGGTTGAGGGTCTTTTAAGTGTTTAACTGTCAAAAGAGCACTTGCACAACACAAAGCTGGACAGACACAAGAGCGTTAACAGCTCAAAGATTTGTGAAAGTTAATACATTGTTGTCCTCTTGCCATTTACATTGAGAAATCAGTTTCACAAAACAGCTGATAAGGCAGAAAAATAATTACTAAAACTTGCGTTAATGTATTTATTACAATGTGATAATATAAGAACATTATTTAAAAATAAGATTTGCGTTTAAAAATAGTTTTAAATTCTTAAAATTAGGTAAAAAGTTAATACTTCTTTTTTGTATGGCCATATATATTGACATTTGAATGTAAAGAGAAATTCTGATACTTATATTTCTGAGTTTGCAGCCCTTAATAATGTCATAATGACTTTTGCCTTCTGTTTTGCATCCAGGAGTCATTTGTGTTGCATTGGAAAGTGAAACATTGCTGAGGTTATACAGAGTAGTAAAGTTGTAGAGTATACAGGGTAGTTATATAGAACACATGTTCATTCACTTTAATGACAGCTAATTACCAAATGAATCACTTTGCAGTAGGTTAAGGCATATTTATTCATTTATACATTTCAACAAAAAGATGAATCATAACATTAAAAATTGTTTTTTGACTTGTTTTGGTAACCTACATATATTTAAGTTAAGTGTCAAGATCTGGAAGGTATGTCTCTCTTCTGACAGTGACATCTATGAGAACACGCCTCTAGCTGACGGGTGTGCAGTCGGTGCATAGATTTGATCTGTTTAGTAAATAATCTTTGTGAGATATTTTTTTCTACTAGGTCTCAGTGAGGATTAGGAAATATATCTCCTGCATAGACCGTCTTGACTTTTACCCAATTATAAAAAAAAATGGGAAGAAATTAACTTTTTAGAGCAAATGCAGAGCCAGACAAAAGCTTTTAGAGTGGCTGTGTTACCTGGTTAGAGTTCAGCTTAAAGAAATGAATGACAGAAAGTTGGGTCACGTCATTATGTTTTATTATTAGTATGATTGCACACTCCACCCAATCTCCAGACCCACAGATGTTCAACCATTCAACCCTTTTTATCCGCGGCCACCGCAGATCTATTTGTTTGTGTTGTTTTTGCTTTTTAGTATTCACATTTTGTATTGCTTTTATCTTTGCTACAAAGCAGTACTTTGTCCCAGATTGTTGGACGTTTCTTGTTGGATGATAGCATGAAAGACAAATGATTACTTATTTTAGATATATATCCAGAGGATCCAAAACTGATACTTAAACCAATTCATTCTAATTAACAATAATCATTTTAAGTCTGGAGGTTTGGTTGTTTTCCTGTATCTAACTTTAGTTTGAGCACCCACTGTTTTGCTTACTATAATTAGATTTTCCACTTGATATTTGATGTGGTTTGAGTTCCCTATGATACACAATCCTATAATTTCCTTTCGAACCGAATGCTTTTATATTCAAAAGGTGTTCTGCAGATGGGTTGGATAATTGGGAGTTCCTAAATGCAGGTTAAAATGATTTGATTTACACTCCAACAGATTGTTAAATGTCTTATCATGTTAGCTTGTGCTTTGCTTACATTACATTCTGAATGTGTAAGAAAGTCAGGCCTTTGCTACCTGTTGTGTGTTGTTACATTTAAAAGGCTTCTTCATCTCAATCATCTTTTACCCCAATTCAAGAATACGATGCTTATTTATCATATCTTCTGTACCTATTCATGTCCCCAGACTTTAAACCTCATTTCCTCCTGCCATTCATCCATCAGCCAACCTGTTTATTCGGTAAACAGAGCCTGACCTTTTGTCCATTTCATCCAGACTATTCTCTTGCAGAAGCCTCTCTGCTTTATTTACCCTGTCAGCTCCCCCCTCTCCCTCGACACATTGTAACACTTCTTATTTGTTGTGTGCAAACAGTGTCTGTCTGCACCTTATTTTCTCCATCGCCTTCTC